CGCCTTTGGGGCGGCCCAGCACCAACAAAGAGGACGCGACGCTGCCTCCTGGGGACGGCTCTGTCCCCGGTGGGGATGGGGTGGGGGACGCTCGTGCCTCTTTCCCAAGCTTTTCAGCGCTGCTGCCGGCTCGCAACCTCGAGCGCTGCCCTGCATCCTCGGGACAAAAGGCGGAGAATCCGGGGGGGGCCCGGGGCGAGCGGAACATCACCGACGGCATGTCGGACGCAGCGTTGGGGGGGATATGCCCACTCCTCGGACAGGGCCACGGGGCAGCTCCTGTCCGCCCCGCGCTGACCCCCGCCGGGCACAGCGCCTCCCCGGGTCGCGGATTTTCGGGGCTTCGCAGCCCCCCGTCCCACGCCAGTTCCCATTCCCGGGCTCACGGCCGCCGGGAAGTGCTGACGCGGGGCCGTGACCCCGTTAATAAATCTGCCGGCCGGTGAGTCACGGCGCGGGCCGGGCGCTTAATGCCATTAGCAGCCCGGGCGCGGTAAGCAGGTCGCGGGCGTAAGAGGCTTAACCCCGATCCGCGGGGCTGGGGAGGGCCGGGGGTCCCGGGTCGGGTCCTGCCGCGCCACGTGGGCGCGAACAAAAAGCAACAGATTGCAAACAATGAGAGTGGCCGAACGGATGGGCAGCGCCGTGGGCCAATAGGAAGCAAGCAAGGTGGTGCTGCTCTGCCAGGTGGCCAATGGGAGGCCCCCGGGGGCGGGCCTTACGGTCCGGCTTTTATTAATGGACGGCGGCGGGAGTTGTGTACGCACGTGGTTGAGACCGGCCGCGTTGTGACAGTGGTGAATGTCGCGTTCCGGCCCGGAGCTCGGCTACCGGGGGGGGCTGGCGAAGGGCCGAGCCGAGGCCGTGCCCCGAGGGCCGATAATGCTGCACTGAGCATCTCAGGGCCTGGCTTCAGAGCCAAAGAGATGGAAAAGGTGGTATTGCTCTGCTAAGGCGAGAGCAATAGCAGCACGTGCGAAGTGGGGCCACCTCACTGTCCCCAGCCTTCGCCCCGCTGAGCTTTGTGGGATCAGCTGCCGTGGCACCGGGCACACAGTGCTTTAGTGGCTTTGAATTATTTGGGTCTTGCAGTGCTGTGTCTCCCTCCCCCACTGCCCTCAGGGACTGTCACCTCTGTCCCCACAGCCTGGGCTGAATGGGGGGATGGGCGTCGGGCCGGGCTCTGAATGGGGTTTGTCACTTGTGAAAAGTAACAACTCACTGAGTGTGGAATGAGTCGGGGGAACAAAGGGCAGCTTTGCCCCCATGTCCCTCATTTACAATTCCAATGGACCATGAAAGCGTCAGAACAGGGACAGTCTTTGGAGTCAAAGCCTCTCCCTGGTCTCCGGATTCCGCTCCTCCCCTCCCTTCCCCAGGCAGGTGGGCTTGGACATTGCCTGTTGCTGCTTTGCCCAGCACATCTGTTGCTCCTAGGGCAACAGTGAAGCCCCAGCCCGGTTTTGGGGAGCCTGGGTGCACGGCTATGGAGGGAAATCTGCCTGGTGTAGTGTTGAAAGAGCATTTCAAGTCACACAAATCCTTTGTGGAGGTCATGGGGCGGCTTTGCAGAGCATGAGCAAACTTTGGGGTACAGCAGTGGGGAGTGGCCAAGGTTGCAGGGAGACACACGGGCTGAGGGGCTCTCAGATAACGGGGATTGTTTTTTCCATGTCTGTTGTGAACAGAGGGTGAAGAGATCGATGTGGTGACGGTGGAGAAGAGACAATCGCTCAGCCTGCGGAAGCCGGTCACCATCACACTGCGTGCTGATCCCCTGGACCCCTGCATGAAGCGCTTCCACATCTCCATCCATCAGCAGCAGCACAACTACGCTGCCCGCTCACCACCAGACGCCTGTGCCCAGCCCAAATCCCTGCATCAGGACAAGGAGGAGCTGCTGAGCACTGCAGAACCACCCACTCCCTCCCATGTGCTGCCTGACCCCGGTTTGCCAAAAGCTGGCCCCGGCTCTGACAGTGAAGATGTGGCCAAGAGGAAAAACCACAACTACTTGGAGCGCAAGCGGCGCAATGACCTGCGCTCGCGCTTCCTGGCGCTGCGGGACCAGGTGCCTGGGCTCGCCAGCTGCCCCAAGACACCCAAAGTGGTGATCCTGAGCAAATCCTCCGAGTACCTGCAGTCACTCATCAGTGCCGAGCGGAGGATGGCAGCCGAGAAGCGGCAGCTGCGGCTGCGGCAGATGCAGCTGCTCAGACAGATTGCTCAGCTCAAGGGGCACTAGCATGGACCTGCCTGCACCCTGGCCCCACAGCCCCACGGTTCCCTCTCGATTTGCACATTTTTGATTTTTTTGGTTGGTTGTTGAACCCTTGCTGCCAGGGATAGTGGCTGCCATGCTGCTCAACGACTTCAGCCCAGGGGTTCACTCCATCTCACCTTGCTGGTCATCCCACAGCTATTATCCACCAACGGCACTGCCAGGAGCTGCCCCACACGCCCACCCTGCAGGATGTCCCCATCAACTGCTTCAGTGGATCACGCTGTGTGGCTCATGTTTGGATGGATACCAGCAGGGATGGTGATGGAGATGTGTGACCCTGACCTGAGCGGTGCCCTGCAGGCAATCCCCTGCTCCCTTGGCTCAGTGAGGCTGTACCTCACTTTCTTACCACTTCATGCAGTAGTTCGTCTTGGACTTTTTGTTCTAGAAACTGCTGCTGTAATTGCAAGTCTTATACTGGAGGCTGTGGTTTTTATACTGTATTTTTGTACCACTTTTTGAGAAGTATTGGTAAAGAGTTTGCTTTTTTATATAAAATAACTTTTTTTTTTTTTTGGAGGGAGTGGGGAGCTTCTGCTGTTGGAAGGCTCCATCCTGCTGCACTTTAGGGAGATCAGGAAGGAGCTGATTCCTGCTGGACCCTTGAGCCGAGTCCTGGCAGAGGCTGGTTCTCACCTTGCAGCTCTCCAACCCACCCGTTTGCAATAACGGGTTCTCCTTGTTTTTCCCCCCCAACCCTGCCACCACCCCTTTGCCCACAGCTGCCTGAAGCCTCCAGCAACGCTTGAGGCAGTGCAGGATTTGGGCTGGAGGAAACACCCTGAGGTGCTGGCAGGGATGGCTCTGCTGACCTGCTGAGAACCATTAGTTAACACTGTGGTTGGATTTAGCACTTTCTTCATTACCTCACACTTCATAAATAAATAAGTTGCAAAGACAGCCTGGGTTGGCTTTTTCCATGTGGGTGGCTGTGGGTTTCCATTCATTGTGGGTTTCCATTCATCACACTTCAATGCTCTGGGAAGGGGAGGTGGAGGGGCCAGCAGCCTGGCTGCTGTGTTTTGGGGTGTCTAGGGTGCTCAGGGCCCAAGCAGGAGTGAATGCACCCTGCACCAGGGCTGTGTTCTTTGTCCCAGCGATTGAAATGTGAGTGGGTACAGCTGACAAATCACCTGGATTATTTTTCTTCCTTTTAAGTGGGTTTATTGGCACAGGGGACAGAGAGTCTGTGCTGAGCTCAGAGGTGCCTTGGTGTAACCAAACACTCCATTAATAGGCTCAGGGCAGTCTGTGGCTTGCTGCCTTCCATGGGGGCTGCTAGTAACCCTATAGCTGGGTGGGCGGGAATGCAATCTGCCTGCTTCAAGGGGAACTTTGGGCAGCCATATCTGCCAAGCAGATTAAATTATACATATATATGTACTCTCCCCCTTCCCTGAACTCAGTGCTTTGAGTTTCATTTATAGTGGCAGCAGAAATCTCGCTCTGAGTGGGTGGGATGCAGAGTCCTGTTACTGCCAAGCAGTCAGAGCAGCGCTCACCCCAGGCAGCCAGCCTGCAGCAGCAGTGCTCCTGTGCACGGTCTCCCACATCCCTGCTCCCTGCAATATTTCACGCTTTCTGCACGTTGTGTTGTGCTGTGTCAAAGCGTTTCAGAGCTGTATTAGGGGCAGCTCACAGGAACCACAGCTTAAACATGGGGCAGGGTGACCTAAATCTGACACCTCGCCTGCTTGTCCCCGGCCCCACGGTTTTGTTGTGCGCAGGCCGGCCATTTCAATGAGGTTTGAGGAAAGGCGGACTTTTTCCTCTCATGCTAAAGGATGTGGGATGTTACAGACTTCACTTCTTTGGAAACGGTGCACAGCTCCCGTGGCCCAAGCTGGCCATCGGCAGTGGAGGAGCAGTGGCAGTTTTCCACGTACCTTTCTATTTTCCTGATTAAAACCCATGTCCGTAAGTCCGTACCTCCCCAAACACCCCGGTTCCTAAAGCAGACGTCTCCCCTTGCGCTGGCACGGTAAGAACCGTGAAAACAGGCTGATGGCGCTGCTAAGTGCACAACATAACCGCACAGCCTTCTGTTCTCAATTGCTCGCTCTGCATTTCAGGAGTATGGGCCGTGCCCGCTGTCATCTCTCACGTCCAACCGCAGGAGATGTTTCGCAGCCGCCCCCCACCCGCAGCACCCCGCTCCCGTTGCTGGGAAGGCTCCGTGTCGCAGGGGAGCGGCGCCGCCGGGACAACCCGCCCCTTCCCCCCCCCCGCCGTCACCATGGCAACAACCCCCCCTTCCCCAGCTCTTCCCTGTTGCCACGGCGATAGCCTCGGCTCCCCATCTCCCGCGTTGCCACGGTGACGAGTCTGCCTCTGCCTTTCGGAGGAGGCCGCCGCTGTTGCCACAGCAACGGGCTCCTCTCTGTTGCCACGGCAACAGCCTCGGCTCTTCTGCCCTGTTGCCACGGCAACGGCATCCTTCCCACCCCGTCCTGGCCCCCCCCCCTCCCCCCCCGGGCGCTCTGGGGCACAATTCCGCTCCGGGGGAGCCCGGGGAAGACCAAAAGGGGCCGGCAACGGATCCGGGACCCGGAGCGCGGCCGGGATCGGCGCTGGGACGCGGGCAGGCAGCGGCCGGGAGCCCGGGACGCGACGGGGTACGGCCGGCACCGCGGCCCGGGGCGGTGCAGGGGCCCGTGGCCGCCCTCCCAGTCCTTCCGCGGGCGTCCCCGGCCCGCCTCCGCCCCGCCCGCCCGTTTCCATGGCAGCCGCCGGGCCGGGCCGGGTCATGGCGGCGGCGTTGTGCCTGGGCCGGGCCTCGCCGCCGCGGCCGCTCGTGGTGATCCTGGGCGCTACCGGCACCGGGAAGTCGGCGCTGGCCGTGCAGCTGGGGCTGCGCCTGGGCGGGGAGATCGTCAGCGCCGACTCCATGCAGGTACGGGGCGGCGTGGGACCGGGGAGCTGCGGGGGGGCCGGGGGAGGGTCGGGCAGCGCGGCGGGGCGGGGGGGGCGCGTCCTGCGCGGGAGGCGTGCGGGGCCGCGGTAGGCCGCGGTAGGCCGCTGTAGGCCGCTGTAGGCCGCGCTGCCGGGGGCCCCGGGATCGGTCCGCGGTTATCTGAGGCGGGCCTGGGACCTGCCAGAGGCTGCGGGCCGCGCCCCCAAGAGACCCCCAGCCCGTTCAGCGTGTTGGTTACGCTCCCTAAAGCGGTGTTTTCCCCAGCACCGCTGGCTTTGCCGTTCGTGCTGCGCTCAGTCGCGCCCGCCTTCCGTTTCCTGCGCAGGGCTGCTGACGCTGGGCTCAGTGGCTCTCCTGCAGGGCTGAATTTGCAAGCACCCTGTCCTTCATTTGAAACAAGCGGTCAGAAAGCTTTAATTGTACATGAAGTGTTTTCCTTAAACTCATGGGACAGAGTCTGGGGTTTAAATGCGAGGAATCCCAAAGAGACCTTCGTGCAGGGCCTGTATTGCCCCATGCTGTCCCACGTTGTGGCCTTCATTCCTGGACCTGTGTCTGTGCACCCGGGTGTCCCTGGGCTCTTGGTGCTCCCAGTGGTCCCCAGATACCCCCTGGAGCTCCCACACTGTGGTGGGACAGTGCTGCTGGCTTTCTTGGGATGTCTGTCTGCACCAGGCAGCTTTTAGCTGGTGGCTGTGAGGCTTCTAAGGCATGCTGTGCTGCTGCAGCATCTTTGTCAAGTATCTCTCAACCATGCTAACCATCCTGATCCAAAAAAGCTCTAGAGTTGTTATTTGTGTCCATTTGTGCACCATGAAATGCTGATTTTTTTGCAGGCCTTGTAGTGAGCACCAGCGCAGCATACGTTGGGTTTTGGTCCTGGAACTGTTGTTGACTGGTGTGATCCTGGAATGTGAGGTTGTTGCCGCACGCAGAGCTCCGCACAGGTTCTGGAGCTGACTGGTGTGCTGCTCAGTCTTGTTTTGTGCTGGTGGATGCTTTGAAGCGTGCATTTTGTGCTCTGGTTGTTTCAGATCCCACTGTGAGAATGCAGTCACTTGGAGGATTCTGGCTGCAGGCACCCAATGGCATCTGAGCTCGAGTGGCTCTTGTCCTCCTTTCCTTTTAATCTCATTCTAGCGTGACTGTGGAGCGAGAGCTGAGCAGCTCGGTTGCCGTTGCACTGTGACTGCATTCTGCGTGGCCTCGTGGGGCAGCCGCCTGCAGGCACACCACACGCAGCGCATTGCCCTTCCCCCACCTCGTTCCACTAACCCCCGTGCCCTGCTTAGGCAGCCACGGCAGCCAACTGGGTCTGCTTTCCTGCTGGCTTTGTTGCTGTGGAATAGGTTTCTGTGCTGTGTGTTCCTCTGCCACACAGCGCTGACACCAACAGACTTGTGGAAGAGTTGCGGGGCTTTAAAAACCCCATTGCTCATTCTCAGGTGACAGCTGCCTGCAGCCACGTCGCCCTGACCCTGCTGTCCATTCATGGCTGCACCCATCTGAGCACTGCAGAGGTCTGACAACGCTGGCAGTGTCTTTTGGGCAGCTGTTGGAGCTGCGGCCAAGCTCGGGGAGTGGCTGGGAGCCCAAGCCCACCTGTTCTGGTACACAGGCCTCTCTCCAGGGCGCTTTTGTTGTGGCTGTGGGTTGCTGTGATCAAGTTACAGACTTAGCTGATGCCTGCGAGGCAGCTCTGGAGCTCTGGTTAATCTGTTGGGTCTCTTTATTATTATTTTTTTTGTACTTTGTCTTGTTGTTTGTTATCCCAGACGTAAGTTTCCTTCAGACGTAAGTCGTTTCTCCAGAGAAAACTGGCAGGGTAAAGCCAGGCCTGCTTTGTTCCCAGCGGAGTAGTGAGAATGCAACGATCCTGGTGCCAGTGTGCTGGAGGCCTCTCCCATCCTCCCAGGTCCCATTGTCCCTTCTGGGTGTCATACCTCTGAGCAGTTGAGGAAGTCCTCCTCTGGAGGCTGTTGTGGCACACTGAGTACATTTGTCAGTTAGTGTGTCTAGTCAGGACATCTCATAAGAGCTTTGGCCAAAGCTTTGCTGACAGCTTTCTTGTGGCAGAGTGTACAGAAGGGGAGTGAATTTTTCTTCCCTTTCACCCTGGTTTTCGGTTCTTCCCTCCATCTCCTCCCTGCTGGAGATCTCCTGTACTCTGTGAGCCCTTCCCAGCTAAGGATGGTCCACTGTGCATGGGGTCCTGGGCTGCACAGCCGCCACAACTGTGCCCAGGATGCTGCCTTGCCCCCTCCATGGTGGATGAGGGGCAGGGGGTTCAGGGCAGCTTTGTGCCTCCTGCTTCAGTTTTCCTGTCCAGAGTTGGTGCCAAGTGTCTGGCTAAGCGCTTTGAGTCCTGGGACTGACTTGCTGGCTCTCAGCAAGAGGTGGGAGGCTGTGGCCAGTGCTAAGCACCTTTAGTCCTCAGCCTGTGTGCAGTGTCTCAGAGGCCTGCTGCTCCAGGCTGCTGCTAATCTGTTTTGGGGCCTTAGAAAGCAACAAAGGCTTATCTGAGCTGCCTGCTGAAAATAGAAATGAGTGTCGGGAGGACGTCTCGGGTACATGGTCGTGCCGACAGCCAGCTGGTGGAAACCTTCTCTGTGCTGGCTGTGTGTGTGTAAAGGCTGTCTTTGTTCCCTCCCAGCCCACACACTGACACCACATTCCTCCTCTTGTTTCCAGATATTCAGGAAGGAGCTCAGTGTTTAATCTCCAACAGAACCTTGGGGGGGATTCAGTGTGAAGTGTAAGCCCTGGCCCTGTCTGCGTGGGTGCTGGAAGCCCTTTTAGGGCTGTGTGTTGGCTGGGACATTGGCAGACATGTAGGAGCTGCGGGGGTGCAGGGCCCTTGTCGGGGCTGGAAGGCACTGAGCCAAAGCAGCAGGGCAGGTGATCAGTAGGCTGCAGCCCACCACCGGTCACATTGGCACGGAGCTGCCCTGCAGGCTGCTCCTCCTGTCTGCTGATCTCCTGCAGCCAGAAGGTAGAAAGGAAGAGTGTTTGGTTGCCCTGCCTCTCCCCCTGCTTCCTGCCCCCAGGCCAGCCTTTCTTGAGGGGCAGAGCCTGGCACTTGCCTTCAAAGCAGCCAGAAGGGTTAGGCAAGACAGGAAAGGGAGAATCTGCAGGTTCAGCCACCCCAGCACACATGACTGCTGAGTGCAGGATTGGGCTTCCCTGCTCCAGTAACCTCAGCTCGTCCCTGGCTGCTGCACTGTGCCTCCTGCGCACGGGTCACCTCTGTGTCACCTTGTCCTTCTGTCTGGGACCTGCGTGGTGGCAGGAGGAGGTCGTGCTGCAGCTGGAGGCTTGGCTGTTTTTCAGGGGGATTAAGGGGACATTTTTTTTCTGGAAGCCTGGCCTCTGGCTGAGGTGGTTTTTGGTAGACAGAGGAGGAAATGACTGCTTCCATGTCCAGTCCCTTCTCCCAAGATGGAATTTATCCCAGGCCAGGAGACCACTCTGAGCAGAGAGATGCTGAGCTGCATGTACCTTCCCTGAACCCTCAGCACAGCTCAGAGCCCTGGCTTCTGCCTGGCACAGGGTGTGCACAGTCCTTGGCATGGCACAGAGCTGCACACTCAGGACAGAAGGGCTTTATGTGCCCACTGCCCCACATGCCTGCTGGCAGCTGCCCTTAGCAGACCAGCTGTGGGTCTCCACTCTGCTCCGTTTGCAGTTCTGCAGGGCAGCTGTTGGCTGTGCCCAGGGCAGGGGGTTTGGGCTGCAGCACTGCAGGGATCACAGGTTACTTTGGCTCTTTACCAAGAATGCTCCCAAAGGGTTGGTTTGGGTGGCTTTCCTTTCTGCACTGCTTTCAACTGCTTAGCTGAGGTCAGCATCTCCCAAGAGTGTTCTCCCAGGCTGAATATCCCAACCTCGAAATGAAACACATGCCTGGAAGCAGCAAGATGCTGCTCTTGGCTCTCACCAGCAGATCCTGGTGGGCAGTGCAGCCCAGCAGTGTGCAGTCACTGCTCCATGCCAGCTCCACTCCTTCCATTTCAGAGCTCTCAGCAGGCTTGTTTATTTGTTTCTTGCCAGATTTGTTTTGTTCAGCTGTTTCCTGATGTAGGTCACTGCTGCCTAGCATGTGAGGAGGCCAGGAGCAGGGAAAGAGAGGGGAATAACATCTTTGACAGTGACTCAATGTCAGCCAGTCTGCAGCCCCACACTAGGCAGTGCTGAAGCTGCTGAGGGGTCCTGGTGGCTCTGCAAGGAGGATGTGGTGCTCCTTCTCCCAGGGGCACTGACCTGAACTGGTGATTTTCTCCTCTGTTTGGCTGGCTCTGTTTGGCCTGAGAGGAGCAGGAAGCAGATGGCAAGTCAGGCTTTGAAGGTGTGCATGAGCTGCAATCATCACTATGTTCAGGAAGCTCCATGACATTGCATGCTGCATACAGAGAGATAGGTGTGCTGTAGGAAGCAGTGATCCTTGTCCCCAAACAAGATTTTTGTGCTGTGCTGGAGGATGGTGCTTGGCAAGAGGCACACCTGAGTGTGTAGCTGCAGCTTGGAGATGATCATGCTCATTTTAAAGTGCTGAACTTCAGAGCTGGGCTGTGCCAGTTACACTGACCGTGCTCTGATTGCTCCATCAGCCTTTTCATCAGTAACTGCAGGGTCAGAACAGGAAAGCAATTGCAAGCAGTTGGACTCATGGTTCATCTCCTCTGTGGGCAGGAGCAAATGCGAACAGAAGCAATTTGGCCCTTGCAGGAGCAGATGCTGGTGGGGTTCCTACTGCCTTGCCTGCGCAGAACACGTGCTGCTGCCTGCATTTCTTGGTAGACCTACCCAGTCTAAAGGGGTCAACAAGGGCAGAGAATTGTTGTGCCTGGAGAGAGGAGCAGGGATTGGTGGGGCTCCATAGGGTGTGCATGCTGAGGTGGGCAACATGCTCTTCTCTTCCTCAGGTGTACAAGGGCTTGGACATCATCACAAACAAGGTTTCTCCCCAGGAGCAGCGCCTGTGCAGACACCACATGATCAGCTTTGTGGATCCTCTTGTCTCCAACTACACGGTGGTGGATTTCAGAGACAAAGCTGTGGCTCTGATATCCTTTTGTGCTGCAGCCTGCCTGGCCAAGCAGATAGGGACTTCCCTCCTCCACAGATAGGCTTGCAAGAGAGATCAGTGTTCACGTCAGCCCTGTGTTCCACACATAGCAACTAACTCCTGTTTTCAGGGGATACTGCTGGCAAGAGAGACTTGGATCTACTTTTACCCTGCTAACAGTGAGGGCAGCCCCTCCTCAGGGCTGGCAGGGCAGGACCCCTGCTGCACAGCAACAATGCTGAGCTAGGTGTTGCTCTTTCCGAGTATCTCTGAATCTCAGAAGTTGCTGGCACAGGTTAAAAAAAAAAAAAAAAAAAAAAAGGGGCTGGAAGAGAACAGAGAGCTGTAACACTGCTCTGCAGCCTCGTGGGCTGTGTGGTGCTGGAAGGGGGGGGGGATCTCCTTGTGGCCCTTTCTCCCTGCCATGTGTCTCTGCTTATGCTCCTTGACTGTAGCACATTGAAGATATTTTTGCTCGAGACAAGATCCCGATTGTTGTGGGAGGAACCAACTACTACATCGAGTCTTTGCTCTGGAAGGTCCTTGTCAACACCAAGGTATTGTGGTGGGGCTTCAAATCTGTCTGGGGAGCAGTGAGCCCTCTCTTCAGGGCAGGCTTCACATAGCTTGGCATGGTATTTCCGTGCTAGAGTAGGGCAAGGAAAAACAAAGGCCTCCTGGGGCTTTAGGTCATCTCACTCATGCTGGCCTGCATGCAGGTGACTGTTTTGGCTCAGGGCTGCCTTGTACCTCATAGGAAAAGTCCAGCCTGGTGTCTGGGACAGTCACTGACAGAAAAGTGGAGCTGGAGCAGCTGGATGCTGTTGATCTCCATTGCCGCCTGAGACAGGTAGACCCAGAGATGGCAGCCAAGCTGCACCCCAACGACAAGCGCAAAGTGGCCAGGTGAGCTTGATGTGCTCAGCCCATCACCCTGTCCCAGAGAAATTGTGTGCCTGGGAGCATGGCAAGATGGGCTCTCCCATCTCAAATGGGTACTATGAGCCTTCTAGGAATGTTGGAGCACCGGTGCTGGGTAACTCTGTGGAATCTGGGCCCCTGAGACCCATGACTGTGCAGCCCTGCTGGCTTATGTGTGATGGGGCTGCTCCCAGTACTGTACCCAGTAGCAGGGTTTTTATCTAGAGCTATTTAAAGAGCAAGCTGCTGTGCTGGCTGAGTAACATACCTGAGCTCTGTGGGAACAGCACGGCAGCAAGACCAGGCCTGCTGCTTCGTCAGGCCCATCCCAGCCTTGCCCTGCCCTGGGGGGAGCAGACACCGCCCACCCCATTCACACGGTGCAGGGGGACAAGGGAAGGACACACTGTGCAGCTTCCTCTGGCTCCCTGGTGGTGATGCTTCAGTCTCCTCCAGCTTTGACAGTGCTGGCCCCTTACTTGCATCCCTGCTTGGCTGGAAAGGGCAGGGCTGGAGCCAGAAGCCTGTCCCCTGCAGCGCTTGTGCTGGTGCCAGGCAGGAGTGGGTGGCTGTGTTCTGGGCTCCTGGGGTGCCACCACTGTACTCTGCACTACGCCTCTAGGACTTGGGAGTGGTTGGGATGCTGGGCACAGAGGGAGCTGAAGCCTGCCCTTCCCCTACATGAGAAGGTTGGATCGCAGTGAGTGTCTGCGGTTCCCTTTGGAGCCCCCAGGGCTGCTGGGGAAATGGAAAAGCTCATCCTTACCCGGCCTCTGAGCTCTGTCTGTCTTTGCTTACAGGAGCCTCCAAGTGTTTGAAGAGACGGGGATCCCCCACAGTGAAATCTTGCAGCAGCAGCAGGAGGAGGAAGGTGGGGGACCTTTAGGGGGGCCCCTAAAATACCCACACTCTTGTATCTTGTGGCTTCATGCAGACCAGGCAGGTAAGAGTGGGCTTTGCACAGCTCCTGACTGACTGCACAATGTGATGAGGGGTGAAGGCTGACTCCCTGTTCCTGCCCCAGCCTCTTCACTGGAGAAGGCAGCAATTCCTTTGGCATCAGCAGGCATGACAGAGGACTCGTTCTCCTTGCCTGCTGGGCTCTGCCTTCTTCATATGGATCAGGAGGCTGGGAGTGCAGAAGGTCCAGCTGTGGGTCTCCAAGTGCATAACTTGAGCAGCTGAGCATGTCCTGCCCTCCTCCCCCCAGCTCTGGACCGACGGCTGGAGCAGCGGGTGGATGATATGCTGGCTGCAGGGCTGCTGGAAGAGCTGCGGGACTTCCACCAACGCTACAATCAAGAAAAAGTGACCGAAAACCGGTGGGTGAGAAGCCAGCTCCCTCACTGAAGGCACTGCTGTGTGTTCCTGTGTGTCTGATGCCACAGTCTTGTGTCACCTGGGGTCCTTCCCTACAGGTTGAGACACAGAAGCCTCAACTGTCACTGGGAAGGTTGGGATCACCCACTGTTCTGAAAGAGATGGCCCTGACTCTCGGCTATTGTCTTACTCTCCAGGCAGGATTATCAGCACGGCATCTTCCAGTCCATTGGTTTCAAGGAGTTTCATGAGTACCTTGTCAGTGAGGGGAATTGCTCACCCGAGACCAGTGCCCTGCTACTGCAAAAAGGTGGGAGGAGCACCCTGTGTACCATACGTCCCTCAGCCCCATGCAGCTCCAGGTGACACAGCTTGGTCTGAACCAAGCTCAGACCTGGGACAGGTCTTGCTGGAGTTGAGTTGCACCTTTCTCCATGCAGTTTTCACTTCAGCTAGACCTGAAGGTGGCTTTGTCCGAGCACTCTGAGGGTCCTCTGCTTTGAGCTCAGTTTGTAGAGTTGTGCTGACACAGTATTTTTACAACCTCTGTTTTAAAGGGATCCAGGCCCTGAAACAGGTGAGCAAGAGATATGCTCGGAGGCAGAACAAATGGGTCCGAAACCGCTTCCTGAAACGTAAGTCCTCTGTTCCTGTGCTGCCTCACTATCCCTGTTCTCGTATCTCTTCTCACCCTGCTGTGATGCTGCCTGTGTTCATTTTGCCCCCAGCTGTCTATCCAGACACTCAGAGAGATAGCTCCTTCTCACTGCTTCTCCTGTACACACTGGTTGCCCGTCAAGGAAAGATCTTCCTCTCCCAGGAACAATGCAACCAAGTGCTTGGCTCCGTGCCCAGCCAGCCATGGATGAAAGCGGGCTGCAGTGTCCCTGCAGCCCCAAGGATCTTGAGGAGATGCCCAGAAGGCACTTGCACATGTCTCCTGTATGGGGCAAAAAGCCCAGCTGACAGATGCCCCCTGGATTAGGAACCAGAGCCCATTGGCTGTACCAGGCCCTGCTTGCTGTGGCGGGGAGCCAGCAGGACTTCCCCATCTCAGCCCAGCCTTGGAGCAGGGCCAGCAGCAGCAGCTGGGAGCCGGGCACTTGTTGAAAGGTGCTTGGTAGGGGCAAAACAGCAACAACAACAACAACAGAAAAAAAAGGCAGAAGGAAACTCGAGTCAAAAGATAGGCTTTGAACAGAGTGCAAGAGCTTTCATGGAGCCATGTGTTTGGTGGATGTGGCTCACCTTTCTGGTGGCAGGTGTGCTTCAGATCAGCCCTATCAAGAACTTGTTTGTGGTTTTAGCAATAAAAAGCAGCACCTGCTGGAGCCTGGCACGCGGCAGCCTTTGGTGGCTTTGTCCGAGCAGGGCTGTGTGCCCGATGGCTGCTGGCAGTTGGCTCCCTCCACCAAAGGGAGCGAGTGTTCTCTGGTTGTGGTTGTCCTGCCTGACTGGGCTGCAGCCAGTGCCCCTCACCCTCATACTGAGTCTGCGGGGTGGATTTGTAACTGTCTTGTCAGGTGGAGGCACTGACAAACCAGCTCCTGTCACAGCCCACTTTTGTGAGCTGAGAACTGCTGCAGCCACTCAAGCAATGACAGCTCTGAGCAGCACAGCTGAACAAGAGCCTGCACCAGAAGATTCATCACCCAGGCTCTGTGTGTGCATCTCCTTGTAAGCACAGCTTTGTATGATGGCTTTATGGATCCATCTAACTCTTCATTCTCTGTGGCCTCCTGTGGACCATGGTAGCAATGAAGTATTTGCTTACTATGCTCTGACTTTGTAATGTTGTCCTAAAGGCGGGCAATCATGAAGTTGCTTGCCCTGAGTCTGAGGTGTTACTGCTGTTTGCCTGCAAGCTGAGGTCTCAGGTAATTTTGGCTCCAGAAAGGCTGGTGCTATTTGCTCCTGAGTGCTGAAGGACAGGTTGATGAAAGAGCAGATTCTCTTGAGGTATTGTGCAAACCCACAGAGCCTGCATGCTGACTGCTTGGGGTGCTGGGCACCAGGCTGGGGGATGCTGGCAGTCACCTGCTCCTCTGTGTCCTTGTAGGTCCTGGCCCCAACGTGCCCCCAGTGTATGGCTTGGAGGTGTCTGATCTCCTGCGGTGGGAAGAAGATGTGTTGAAGCCTGCTCTAGAGATTGTGGAGAGCTTCATCCAGGTATGGAATAACCAGCACTAAGGTGTAAGCTGTGCCCGAGAAGCCTGTTTCTCAGTTACTGCAGACCCCATAACTTGGGGCTGTCTGTGTCCATATCAGCCGTGCATGTTTTTATTTCAGTGGCAGTGTTGAAACTGAGAATTTGTCCTAATGCTCAGTACTCCACTGGTCTTGCATAGTAAGAGTGCATCTTCTGTCCTACTGTCATTAGTGTCTAAGTACAGAAAATTCATAGCCCTACCAAAGTGAACACAGCCATGGCAGATTTTCTGGATGGAAACTCATTTGAGGCATCATGTATTCGACAGGGACGCAAGCCACCCGTGGAGCCTGTAAAGATGGAGTGTGATGTGAACGAGAACAAACGGAGCCATCGTGTGTGCGAGCTCTGCAACAGAGTCATCATCGGGGACAGGGAGTGGGCAGGTAGGGTCCTGGCAGGGGGCTCGGACACCGCAAGCGCGGCTGTGCGCAGGGAACAGCATGAGGCAGCCTCCTTGGCTGGCTCTGCTTGGCCAGATGACCCTCGGCACAGGATCTTGGGCTTTCAGGGATTGTTTACAGCCCATGCATGAAAGCAGCCATTTGCAAGCCCTGAGGGGGGTGCAGGAGCTGTGCCACAGGAGCCATCTGTTGGGCTGCCCCCCTGGCACCTGGTGAGCACTCTGCTGCACTGCCATCACACCAGGCGCTGGGCTCTGTGTGAGATGCCTGTGTTCAGCCTGAGCTTGTCCTTTTGAGCACTTCAGTTGGTCTAAAAACAGCAGATTCAGTTTTTCTGAAATGCTGTGTGAGAAGAAAGCTTCTTAATGTCTGTAATTGCTTGGTTTTGCTATAATTTTTCTTATTTGTATGTTTTTGTTTTTTTTTTTTAAAGTGTTCCTAGCTGCAGTGATGATAGTAAAGGATTTTCTGTTTTCAATGGACTTACTTTAAAAGAGTTCTGTTGGAATCAGATTAACTCTGTGAATTTATCAGTGCTGTGAGGCTCATGCTGAGAACCAGAAACAAAAAGTAGTTGAGAAACTCTGCAGAAATGGAACTGATAAACCTCTATGTGTTGCCCAAATGCAGAATATGCAGAGATAATGCAAAGATAAATCATGCCTAGATCATTGATTATCAGACTTGAATGAGCCATTCATTACTGCTGATCTGGGGAACTGCTGAAAACAAAGGTGGAAGTTGGCTCGCTGTAGGGAGGTCATTACCATGAGACCAGTTTGTAAGTATAATTGTCACTGCAGCAAGTCTCAGCTGTTCTAGCTTGGAGGTAATTTGAAGAAGCTTCAGAGCCAGAGAACTCTGAAAATTAGCAGAATCTGTGCTGTCCTTCTGGGTGCAGCAAGTTGTAAAGGTGTATGACAGAGTGGGAGCTCCTCAAGATAATCGCAGACACAACAGTTGCAACAGCTTGTCCTCTGGGCATGTTGTCCCAGATTCAGATGGATAAGAGCACCATTTCAAACCAAGACCAGCTATGTGTTCTCTGCACCCTGCTGAATGTGGCTCCAATCCCAGATGGCAGGAGAAGGATTGCCCCAAACTTGGTGTTACTTTAACTGCAAAATGTAAAAGTTCGAAAGGAAGTGAAGGCAGTAGTGGGGGCTGAGTCAGTCTGCAATCTGCTCTACTGCTTTAAGTTACAGATAGTTCTGCAAACTGCTTCCAAGTACCCCACTGGATCTGGAAGATTTTTAAATTCTAACTTTACAGTGTGTGGCACAACCCCAGACACCTACTGAAATCAGTGCTTCCTGAGCTGCTCTGAGCTTTGGTGTTGCTTACAACAAATTGTAAGAGGTGTGACTTTGTTTCAAGCTGGGGGTGACCCTACAGTGTTAAAGCAGCAGTTTTGCATGTAATTTTATCCTTTGACAGAAGAGGAAGACTGGAAAACACCTCAGGGCCTCGATTCAGCAAGAACATACCATTGTTTAATTAAGGCCCTACTTGAAAAGTTTGCTGCTTTAATTGCTGCTCTGATCTCTTGGAAACAGCGAAACCACCTTGCTGCTGTTACATTGGTCATAGGACTTAGCACCTTCTATGTAGATAATACCACTGACATAGGAGGTTTTGCTGTCCTTGACAGTGTGATTTTAAACAGAAGTGCAGCTCTTGCTGCCCTGGTTTGTCAGTACAGTTTGCTTCCTTGAGATCACACCTCTGTTCCTAAAGGGCTTTCATAGCTGCAAGCCTTGCCCTGGAGTTACGCAAAAGCATAATTGCGCTCTGGGCTCCATCCCTATCTGCTCTGTGATGTACCCAGTGCTGTGGTGCGGGCACATCTAGGCTTACAAATGATCCTGGCCTCATTCCATGAACTGAGGAGCACTGCACCTCATGCATGTTCTGCAGTGTTTGGTAACACTTGCCTTTCTTCTTCCTGCAGGTTGAAGCTCAGTTAGAGCAAACTTGTGGGGCATTGAATCCTGACAGCTGGGGGCTTTCTGCATACAAACCCGGGACTTTTCCCTTTCCCACTTTCTTCTCCTCAGGGGAAGGCTTGAAGGCTGCGCCCTGTTTGTTTGATGCAGAGCAAAATCAGGCTAAGTGCTCCCTTCCCCAGGTTCCCCAGAGTTAAATGCTTGTTTGCCTCTTCCTCCAGCTCACACGCGATCCAAAGCCCACCTACACCACCTGAAGAAGAGAAAGAAGCTGGAGGCTGCTGGACATGCTGCAGAGATGGTGAGGGACAGCAGGAGTGCAGAGACCTCGGGCAAGGACAGCAGCATGCCTTTTTCATAGGTTTGTGAACGTGCTTCCATCTGGACGGCAAGGAAAGGCTGAGTCCTGGGTGGCCTTAACCCAAAGGAGCTGAGTCATTTTTTGGGGAATGAGGCAGGTGTGTGAGTGACAGCCAGAAGGCTGTGGGCTGTGTCAGAGCTTCTTTATGTGGCCTCATCTTGCTGTGTTCCATGTTTCTCCTGCCCTGCCTGCAGAGGGCTGGCTCTGGGCCAAGGCTGCTGGGGCGTCCTGTGCCCAGCATTCACTCCTGCCGCAGACAGCAGTATCCCTGGAAAGGTGGAGCTTCTCCTTTGGCATGCAAATGTGTTGTTCTCAGAGACAGAATTACTGTGCTCCTCCAGCTTGGCCAGCAGTGCAGCTCAGAACCTGAGTGAGCTCTCGCTGCCTTTTTGTGGAGAGGATATTTTTTTGAATTTATATGGAAATAAAGGTACAAGATTACTGTGGATTCCCCTGCCTATTAAAAAAGTTGAGCTTGCTTGCTCTCTGTTTCCATCTGGCCCAGGTTCCTTGCTCCAGGCACAGGGCGGGATGTCCAGCCTGGCTCCTTCTTCCCATCACCTTTTCTGCAGCTTCACAGGGAGCTGAGCAGATGTTCTCAGTGTGGTGTAGGCCGCGTGCACACAGCAGGTGCAGAAAGAGCTGGCACCTGTTAAACGGGAACTTGGAAATGATCTCATCAAGTTTGCAGCAGATAAGTCTGTCCTAGTTTAAGCTGAATTCCCGGGGGTTTACACTGTGGTTTGGCAGTGGGACTTGCTCCTGCATTTGAATCTGAGTTGCTGAGCAGCAAATTCCTGGTGCTGTGTGTCTGTGGGGCAGTCGCTGTCTCACCTTTGTTCCTCATGGATGTGAGCGCTGTCTTCCCACTTGTGGCTCTGGTGAAAGCCATGAGGCCTTTTCCAGCACAGTTGGGATTTTCCTGTGTTTCCTGGATTCCTGGATCACGGATTCTCCTGGGAAGCTTTTGAGATGGTGGAGCACAGTTTTTTCCTTCAACTGATCATGGATCACTGTGTGTCAGGAGACGTCTCCTGGGGCGCAGCCTCTGAGCGGAAGGGCTGTGTGGGCAGATCTGCCCCTGGGGCTCTGCAGTGTGCTCTGCTGGGGATTAGATTAAACCTCAGGCCTGTGTTCATCAGCACTGAACTATTTCTGTAATGCTGCACGGAACAGCTGCTTTGGGCTGTTGGGTAGAGGTGTGCAGGAAGCTTGCGCTGAAGTCAGTGTCTGGGGAAGAGCTGGGGTGCCCTTTCCTGTGCCAGCATTGTGCTGAGCTGGGCACCAGCATTGGGATGCTGTGCAGCACCAGCTGAAGCCCTGCTCTAGCCCAGACTTGTTTGCCATCTGTTGACTGCAGTGCATGAGGGTGTGGGCTCAGCCCTGCTCAGGGCACACTGCACAGGGGTCTGCCAAGGGATGTGTTGTGTGGATAGATGAGGTAAGGCTGGGTGTAAAGCCCCACTCACTGCTGCCCCACAGTGTGATGCATCACGTCACCATGGAGCAGCTCTGTGAGTGTGGGGTGGGATTGTCTGCTCTGCCTGATGAGTACGCTCAGATGACCACGTTGTTAGAAGTGGATTTAATATCCTTAATCGGTTTAATATTAACTTTGTTATCCCAGCAGATAAATGTTATTCCCCCACCACAATAGCTCCTAACCTGCCTGCTCTGTTCAGAGCCTGCTTGTGCGGATGGGCCCTCCCTGCCCTGTGCTGCCCGCTGTCCTGTGGGGCAGCAGCTCCCCTATGGCTCAGGAGAAAGGGAATCTGTCAGCATTGCTAACTCGTGCTATGCTGGGAAAAGGAAGGTGGAAGCGTGCTCTGATCCTTCCAACAGCGAGACGCAGGTGAGCGTTGTTGCTCTGAGAGGTGGGGGCTGTCGAGGTGTTCACAGGCTCCCATGCAGGGCCGGAGGCGGTATCTCTGCGGCGATTTGCTGTTCAAGGAGGAAGCCAGCGTCCGTTTGAGCTCTGCTGTTGAGGACTGAGCGCGGGGCGGTGCTGTGCTGTGCGTGGCTGGCAGCAGGCGGAGGCAGCGCAGTGCTGGTGGCTGAGCGCCCAGCCCGGCCCCGTCCTGCCCAAGTTGCTGAGCGATGCCCGCATCTCCCCGATCCCGGTGGGTGCTGTGCTCCTGGTTCCGGGCAGCTGCCGGGGCCGAGCGGGCTGGGGCTGGGGCTGGGGCGTGGTGCTTCACTCCATCTGCCCTCCGCTAATCCCCAGACAAACGCAGCTCTTCCATCTGTGCAGCCGGAGCCGCCGAGCCCATCACACCAGCCACTTAATCTAAATGGCTTTGGCCAAAGATAAGGTCATTAATTACACTGGGATTAGAAAACAGGGCGGGCCGGGCTCTGCATCCGTCGTCGTCCTCTCCCGTGGCCCCGCTCAGCGGTGCGGCTGCAGTCTGAGCTGCAGCACCTCCTGGGCGCCGTGCGGGGCTCCCAGCGGAGCGAGGCTCCGGGCTCACACCGGCTGCGGCAGCACGAGGTGCGCGATCAGCGGCCCGGGCTCCGTTCCGCGTCGCGCCGTGCCTGGCTCGGCCCCGGCGCCGTCGGGCCGCTGTGTGGCGGTGTCACAGAGCCATCTGCCGGCGGCGGCCTCCCGGGCTGCGGCGGG